CAAATGGGAAAGGCAAGATTTGAACCTCTGTAAAAACATAAACTTCAATAAATTTATTGTCCGTTGCGTTTAAGTAATTGGTCACTATCCAAGAATGACTTTCATTCATTGTGACAAAATTAAATAAAAGCAAAAATAAATCAATAGTGAGTAAATAATAAGCGATTGATTACTTAATCCATCAAGAAAAAAAATAAAAAAATTATGCTCCGTACGATTTCAGTAAGTCAGAGCAACCAATGAAAGTAATCCCAAAGGACCATCGTCAATTTTATGTTTTTTAATAGATTTTGAGGAAAATCAAGTATCTATGAAATTCAATAAATGAATTACAATTTATCCACAAAATATTTCGTAGTTATATATATATATATTTTCTTATGCTAAAAGAAAGATTGACTATCAAATTTCACATCTTGTTAATTGGTATAAGACATTTTTTTTTCACTGCTTCGCCTATCATTTGTACGATTTGATACTCTAATGGTTTAACCTTTGTTATCAAACTCGTGATTGTTTGTTCATAATTAGTTTTGATATATGTCGATCCTTTTACTTTTTCGATTTTTTCTTTCACAACTAAAATATCATAGTATTTATTTTGATCGTAACTTTTCATCTTAAGTTTGTAAGTTATATTTGTCATCAAAGCACTTTTTTTAATTATTGTCCAAATTGGTTTCTCCATCCAGTATTCTCTTCATTTCTCATTATCAATCTTTATCTGCATGAACTCATTGTTATCTCTTATAGTGTTGTATGATTCATCTGATCGTTATCCTTGGTACATCACCTTCATCTCCTTATATAGACGTGCTTCAACTTTTCTTAAACTGTAGTCTTTGTCTTCCGTTTCAACTTAAGTCTCTTTCATTTTTCTTATTAAGTTTTTTTGCCCGTTCCTTATTTTTCTTATTTTTCACCTATTTTTATTTATCTTCAATGAAAGGTTTTTTTTTTTTATTCAACCGCTCTTGATTGATAATCTACCAACTGCGTGCGTTTTATAATTAGCAAAGACACTCATCGCTTGATAGTTATTAGCAAGGGCAAAACATTTTGACATTGTGGAAACATAAGATGGGGCTAACGCCGACACCGGAGTAGTAGGGATTGGGTTCAAGTTAGCACTAGTAACCGATATCCAAACATTTGTTGTGTATACACTAAAATAGAACGGTTCATAAAACGACAACTATAACAAACTCGTATTGGAGGTACACCCACCACAACGTTAAACTAACAATCAACAATCAAAGAAATATAAAATAATCAATAATCCATGAAACTGTTAAATATGACAACACACAACAAGCCACTCTACCGTAGTTCAATTTATACCGTGGTTACAACACTGAACTGAATACTTCAAGTCACATACCAATTTTACGAATCCTTCTTTATTGTAATTTTATTTATTCACGATAAAACTTTCACTAAAGCTAAAACGAAAATTAACTTAAGACTTAAATTAATAACACTTATAAATTTTGAAATAAAAAATATTTTTTTTATGAATTTTTTTCACTTCTTATTTTAAAATTTATAAACTAAACTTGCCCAACTAATTGAGATAAGTACAAATATTGCATACATTTTATACATGGATTTAAACACAACAGACAAAAAACATCATAAAACACAAACAAAAACAAACAAAGTAACTCAAAATATGACGTACAGATGTTTGATATTTTCTGAATGCGAGAATAGTAGGCTTAAACCACTTGTACCTCGCCTAGCTATATTAATCTGACGTAGCCGTAGACACGCTGTGTCGGACGGGGGTCGTTGCAGTGAATTGTCGATCGCAGCGAAAATAGGTGAAAAACCTAGGCTGCCAGCCGGGCCGCTCGGGTCACCCTATTTTCCTGGGCGGCTCGGTCGTGCAAGGACTGAAGGTCCCAGCCAAAAAAATAAAAAACACAAATATCCAGAAAATCCAAAAACAAACTATGTTATACATAAAAATTAATTGAACAACTTTTGCCCCAGGATCATATCGAAATTCTTTACAAAATTTCAAATAAAAATTTAAATTAAAAAATATTTTTTATTTTTTATTTTTTATTTCTTTTTGGTCCAACCTGGCCAAGTGGACTCGGGCCACTCTGGTAGCCTAGTGAAAAACAAAAATAAAATAAAATAAAAATATATATTTATTTTTTTAACTTGCCTGATGTCGAAAAATAAACTTTTAAAGGTCGTGGTGACTTGGTATCTTTGTATGGTGTATCTCACAACTATGTCGGTGAGATTCATTATCTCATTTGTTTAATTTCCCCCCCCCCCATTTTCATTTTTTTAGATTTCCCTGCCAGCGAGGTATGGCGTTTCTGTGAGAAGTGGAGATGCCTTCGTTGAGGGCAATGGTCCAACGGTAGATCAGAGAATGTATCGAACCTGGTTGCAAGGCCAAAGCAGCATTTCCTTTGTGTAGCGGGCCTATGGTTGGCCTATGAGACCAACCCCTTGGCCTGTTCTCATAGGCCTGTGTTGTATTCAGGGTAGTCCAGTCCAGGCCGGTATCTTTGTCGCTACCAACTAGTTTAGTCCAGTCGAGTCAGTCCGCTGGGGTATACCCCAACCAGAGTCTGTATCTTGGATCATTCTACATTGGTACATTTTGGAGTACGTGAGTTGGAGTCCAGTGTGGGAGATGCGTTGTGCCATCTGGCTCCCCCTTCATCCTCCATCTCCATCTCTATCCCAGGCGGGGCAGCACACCTGGTGGGTCCGCCACACTTTGCTCGTGTCTCCTTTGCTTCCAAGATTTCGATAACACAAGGACGTTTCTTTTTTTTTCTCTTCTTCTACTTTTTAGATTTTCACGCCCGCATTGAGAGGATGCTCACACTAACACTTCCTATGATGTATCCAGTTGTATTCATGTCACTAGCGTTTTTTTTTTTTTTTTT